TACAGTGTTCGGCACGGCTCTGAGCCTTACTGCTCGCCTCTGCCTCACGGCACTCTCGCAGATTACTTGCCTTCTTCTCGACTCACCGCAGACTACAAGGCAATCTCCTGGCACTTGCACATTCGTCAGCAACGAGGCTGCACTATCGACCTCCGGTCTGAGCAGGGGGGTGATGTAGCGGCGCTGTCGTCGCGCCACTAGCACACCGAAACACACCGAAGCCTAAATCGTGCTATTAACATTCCGAATCATAGACAGTATATATAGAACTTCTCCGAACTATCACTCGGAGCGTAGGCCGCTCCCCGGGCAGAACACCTTGCCCGGCGGGAGATCTCCCCTTTTCCTTCCACGGCCACATACATATATAATTGCACTTATCAGCTCTTCCTATGCATCTAATTGGTTTGTCATAATTTTTCGTCTCCAAAATTAACGAAATGTACTCGATACCAAGTAGTATTGATACTTTTGATACGATACTTGGTATCGAGTAGGTATCGATACTTTCAAAATATTCGGAACCCTACACTAACTGACGTTTGACATCAATCATTTGTCAAATTTATTTTGTAATTGTGTGTTATTTACCAATTTGTATGAAAATTTTAAAAAAATATATCTCATGAACCGTTAGTTTCCGCAACCTAAAACTTTGCAAAACGCTTTCTTTTAGTGAGTACTATCTACAAAAAAAATATGGGCTTTGAAATCGATGGTCCATATTGGAAATATTAGCCCATCTTTTTGCATTTTCTTTTGCATATACCATGGAAAGTGCTCTGAGGAATTGTTCGGATCCTATTCGCTCGACAGTGGTACAAATGTGACTAACACAATCACTCATAATTTATGAGGGCGAACATACTCTTTAATTTGGTACCACAATCTTTCCATTTCGAACTAAAAATAGACATAAAAATCATTCTGACGTAATGGCTTTTAAACAGTAGTGCGTGGTAGTGCGTGAGCTATTTCTGAGTGATTTCTCCGTTTTTCTGTGTGTTTTTGAAATAAAAAGGTGAGTTTTATACTTTTGTGTATTCCTTGTAATAAAACAAACACGTAGATATATAATTTGTGGCATAAAAAAGTGAAAAGTAAGTGCCAAAAGTACTTCGAAATCGAGAAGGCCCATTTTAGCGGTTGGGTCAAAAATGTGTTATTTTTCCAATTCTCATTTATTTTTAGTGTAAAATGTAACTAAAAAACAGTTTTATAACGTATTTCAAATAAATTGACGTTGTATTTATTTCAAATTCACACAAAAATATATTTGAAAGATTATTCGGAAATCTCATACAGATAAAAATTAATTTTTATCTATGAGATTTCTTTATATATGATTTATATATGAGTTTATTTTATTGTTTTTTATTTTTATATTTTGGTATGAATAACGAATAGAAACACATAAAACATAAAAATATACATATTTCCAAACATTTTCATATAGATTTCTCCAAAAACAAACATGTAGAATTCAAATTAGAAGTAATTTTAGACTAAAAGTGAAGTATCTACTACAACTATGTTACAAAGGGTAATTTATGAATTTTATTACAATTTCTAGCAATTAAAATTAATTTTATTCGATAGTTTATACATTCAATAAGAATCCCTGTAAGTTTTATCCATAAATATTATCTCAAAGTGAAAATATAGCAAAATTTGCAAGTTGGCAAAAAATTTGCAATGGAGAAGATAACCATTTTTTGTTTTATATGTCAAAAAATTCTACAAAAAATTGTGAGAATAACTGTGTTTTTAAATTTTTTCTATCTTCAAAACTGACCGAGATATAAAGGCGCAAAATTAACATTTTCGATCTAAGCCGCGGGCCGAGCACGACATCGTTGATGACGTCACAAGTTCCATCTTCGTGCGAGCAACCCGACGCGCACTTAGAAAATCAAAACATTTAATCGAATGTGCCCGTCGCATGCGGATCTATATATAGTAAAACATGACACCATCTATTAAATATTGTGTTGTGCCTCAATGTAAAAATACGGCCACAAAAACACCTGAAAAGTTGTTTTTTATTGTGCCTAGAAACCCTACCATCAGAAAAAAATGGACAAATGTTATGAGAAGAGCTCATCCTTTAGGACCGAACACGGTAGCATTTTGTTGTGAGGATCATTTCGATGTAAGTATTCAAATAATAATAACCTTCACGTGATAGTTCTTGGTTATTGCTAGTAAATGCTTTCTATTAGGCATGTAGGTACCTACTCGAGTCACAGTGTTTAAGTAACTAACGATTCATTGAACCTTTCCACGCTTAATGATCATTATAATTTCAAGAAGAAACAATACCTAATACCTACATATTTAACTAAAACTACTTCAGTGTAAATAAACATCCAAACTTGGGTAAAGTACCTATGTAATGTAGATAAGTCAATGACCTGTCTTGAATTCGTAAGTTTAGATACCTACCTATGTTTGCAGTAAATTTTAAAATGTTTATAATGCATATAAAGGTTATAATATGAAATATGTTAACAAACGTTTTTATATTTTTACGATATTTCGAGCAAAAACTAAACACACACGCAGAGCAAAACTTGCGACATTACGGTGGTCATTCCTAGGACTGAGTCAAATTCAATTACAAAATTTTTATTGAAAATTGCCAACAAGCCTCGAAAAGTAGATAAATAATTAAAGATAACTTGCCGCTCCATTGTATTTTCCATGATATCCGATATAATAACTTGTAATTCACAATTTTATTCAACGAAATCAACGGAACTTCAATGACAATGACAAGATTCTTTTTATTTTTTCTATAGAGGTTACTAGTAGTAACGTATATCATACAGCCAAGTTCATAATGAACATAGTCACGGTCTTATTCCACAGAGAAAGATAAAGAAATAAACGAATTTAGCCGCGAAATGCGACCGTGTTTTAATGGCATGTTTAAATAAATTTAATTTTAATTTTTACTGGCTGAAATCAGCCACCTCACAGACGAGACCGAGAGGCTGAACCTATTAATATTATTAGCAAATGAAACCCAGTAGTATTATTGTAATAATGGGTACCTAGGTTATAAAAATATTATCTTATTCTTATTATCTATATATATTATGGTTATAATAATATTATCGTATTTCAGCCGCGACAAAATCTTTGTTTCTTAGAAAATATTCCGCCATCATGTCACGGACTATTGGAAGGTTGTCAGATTGACCCTTTTGAAACCCTTCTTCCATCATTAAATTCTTAAAAACACCAGAGCGAACGAGGGCAAACAACTCACCCGCGAAATATTACTACAAACGTATAATCGGCGCGCCGGCACGGCCGCATGGAACGAATGACGTCACGCGCTACTCGCGGGCACGGGCGACATTTTAGAAATGTACGTAAAAATTCCACACTTATAACTTCGGTAATAGTGCACCGATCGATGTGAAATAAAAACTAGAATTATGTGTTTGGTCTAGACTTTTTACCTACGTACTTAAAAGTCTAATATTGTAACCTTTTTATCTTCTCCATTCCCGCCATTTTACGTCGCGAGCCAATTGGCAAATCAAATAAAGTCGCCTTTCGAACATACAGGTTAATCCCAGCCACCAAATTTCGTGAACGCACTACCCGGCAAACGTCCCGATACCATCCACACGATCTGGATGCTTGGCGGTCCACCACTATACGTTTCACAAGAAGTTTTCTTCCGCGTACGACCTCTCTGTGGAATAGTTTACCACCGGCGATTTTTCCGGACCGATTCGACCTGGGAACCTTCAAGAAAAGAGGTTACTTCTTTCTAAAGGGCCGGCAACGCACCTGCAATTCCCCTGGTGTTGCTGTTGAGCATGGGCGACGGTAGTCACTTAACATCAAGTGAGCCGCATGCTCGTTCGCCCCCTCTTCTATAAAAAAAAATATAAACAAAATGAAGACGGTATAAGGCCCACCACATACATACGGAATTTCGTTTCGGGATTCCGTTTCGGAATTCCGATTCAGTATTCCGAACGCAGCAAGTCCATATAAAATCAAGGACCCATTACACACTTGCGAAAGTTTTCCGTTCGAAATTTTCCGGGCAAAACAGGATTCCGTATGTGTGTGGTTCACTCGTTCGCTCCGTTTCGGAATTCCAAAACGGATTTCCGTAAGTAGAGTGGCAGGCCTAAAAGACAAGCATCCAAGTCAAAAACCTTTAAAAAAATGTTATGAAGGACAATTTGGGAATAATTTAAAAATAAAAACCACAGAATATGTACATTTATCATTTACCCGATCCGATTTACCCCGATGGGATAAAAACACCATAGATATATAAGGGTATGTTCCGAAATACAACGCAGTGTACTGTCCAATGCAAATGACGTCATGAATCGACGCTATACTGGTGATTCGTTCCAAAACATTGGACAGTATATGACGTCATACTTTTGCGCCATTTGGAAAAGTGTTGGCGATTATTTTGTCATTTTGTGGTCCAAAAATCATTAAATCCTCCTAATGGATATACCATCAATTATTCTATAATTTTTTGTATTTGAATAATTAGAAACAAATTCTGGCATGCTTCATTCGGCAAACACACAATTAAAAATTTTTTTATTATGGCCGGATATCCGACACAATATGGCGGCGGCACGCTAGTACAAAAAAGTGTCAAATGATACGTCATTTGCATTGGACAGTACCACAGAGTACCTTTGTATAATAAACTGAAACTGCAGTAAACTGCGTTGTATTTCGGAACATACCCTAAATATGTAGCAAGCTAAAAATAGCTTGCTACATATTTATTTATTTATCTATGGCTAAAAAACTCTTGAACACTGTTGAGTTGAAGCCATAGATAAGTAAATATGTAGCAAGCTAGTTGAAGCATGAACGTTATGATTTTCATATTAAAATTTTAATTTTTATAATTTTTACTATTAATGTTCCATTTAGTTCGTTGTAATTATGTTATAATTAGAGCTACAAATAGTTTAATCATTAAAAAAACTAATTATAAAATGCCACTAGGAAAAACAGAAGCAAGTGCCTCAATACAAACAATACACAATCTTGAGATAAATAATAAAAATCAAAACGACAGTATTATAATGAATTCTGAAAAAACCGTGAAACAAGAACAATTAGATATCCATGAACAGAGTACAATAAATATAGATTTAAATGAATTCAAATTTAAGAAAAAACCAACAGTTAAAATTGAGTTTGATGATACAACAATCGAAAAAACTGTACGCACTGACATAAAATTTATTTAATTACATTTATTTTATACAGAAATCTTATTTGTGTATGAAATGAAATTGCTTACATTTAGTCCTCGCCATGTCAACTTTAAACCAGACTCCTTAGGAAAATACATTGTTTCCCTAAAAAACAAGAAATATCCTAGTAATCAGTAAAAGTACTTTACCGAGGTTTTGAAGTATAGTATAGTTCTGCTCATAGAATTTTGCTCTTTTTATACAAGAGACGCAATTTTTTTAAGGTCTTGTTTTTTTTTGCAAATTTGATTGCACTCCTGTTATGTTACAGTAGGTACTTATTGATTATTTTCCTATGCAAGTGTTTTCAATTCTATTTATTTTTAACTTCAAAAGAAAGTACTTGAAAGTATTTTGAACCCTATTTTGGTGCTAGTATTTTAAGGTGACATACTTTGAAGTCCTAGTGCTTGATTTTGCTAGTACAATCCATGCTTACTGGTTGCTAACCACTAGAAAATTAAACAGGAGATATGTAGCAGTATCCTTCTGATACAAATCAATAAATAATAAGATTGCAGCTGCTAAGGGATGCCTATATTCAACAGCATTATTTTAATTTGAAATGTATCATAAACGTTTCCTTAATTTTTATTCTAATAAAGTGTTTTGATACTTTGTTACTGTTGTAGGAGCACAAAGGTTTATGGGAACCAGTTAAATGGAGAGAATTTTTGGACAATTTAAGAGCAATGCGGTCAAATAATGATGCACCTGTTGATTCAATGGGCTGTCATATGACTATGGATGAGAATGCACCACCCAAAGTATAATTAGATTTCATGCTTATTATTTTTTGAATTTATAAATCAATTATCAGTTTTCAAATCTGTATTATTTCCATGTAATATCTAAGGAATTGGATATTGAAGTGACAGTATCATGATGTTTGAGGCAGTCAGCAATGGGGAAAGTCTTTGGTTTGAATCTGACATTTGACTGCTGTTGTGAAACTTCTAAAAAAGCATTTTAAACTAACTTGGAGTATTAATAATTTTATAGCATAACTATATAATTTGAGAGTAATGTTTATCAAAAAGAGAAAATATGAATGTACTCTTTTATGTTCTAGGTTATAAGGTATCAAACACTCATTTCTCTTATGTTGTCAAGTCAAACAAAGGATCAGGTGACTTTTGCTGCTATGAAAAGACTCAAAGAGAGAGGTTTAACAGTAGATAATGTTCTTGACATGAGTGATGATGAGTTAGGCAAATTAATCTACCCTGTTGGTTTTTGGAAAGTAAGTTTCTACTTTTAACTAATTAAAACTGCTGCTAGTTCTATAATATACATACTTTAGTGACTACTTAGTGATAGTGATAACTGCATTGTCTAATATGGTCGGAGAACTTAGGTATTATACTTTGGTTTTGGAGCTAAAAACCTTGCCAGAGATAACAGGTTATTCCATTTATCCACCTTAGAAGATACTCGGAATATCATGTATATCTATCCACCCCAGATGATGCGGATAATCAGGATTTGTATATATTATTTTCTTCCGATTTTCTCCTTTGGCTGTGTACAGTCATCATCTATAGAAACAATAAAAACTGGCTCAAGATACTTAGTAGACATTACATATACAGGATTCCAATCCATTGGAATCATGACAAAATAATTTAAAATGAAGTACTATTTTTGGAATGCTTGCAAAGACAAACGCCCAATTCTTGGCTAACACATCAGGTTTAGCTAAGAAATTTAGAAAATGGTTGCAAACATACATAAAAATATATATCCAGGTTATCAATTTATGTCTACTCAATAATGAAATTAGTTTTAGTTTTGCCTGGACATATTTCATAATTCATAAATTATGTAATAACATTATTTAAAACGAGGAATTTGGATTTGATTTAAATGCAATATGTAATGCATGGACTTTAATAGTCTGTAACAGTAACAATACATTATATGTTTTTTGATTTTGTGGTTATTAAAAATTAATAATTAAAGTGTATGTGTTGAACTGTACTTGGGGTGAAAAGTCGGAAGAACAAAAATAAAAGTGAATTCTGATTATCCACCCTCGAATGTTTACAATTCCACTATTGAAAATTGGTCTTCCAAAAAGAATGTCACAAAATATGTTCCTGAGCCATCTGCTTCAATGGACTTCCTGCATAGCTTATCAGGTTGTCACTCCGTCTAGTGGAGCGCCGCCCTACACTTTTCCAGTATGAAGCTGCCACCCTAGCTTACAGAAGCTTTGGGCTATGTTAGGTATTCTGTTTCAACCGCTGATATCTTCATTATGTATTCTGTCACATGAAACTGATCATAGCCATCTTTATTGCTTGCTGAGTAACCTGAAACTTTTTCATATGACCAGCAGTGAAGTATCTTGTCTAAGATCTCTTATATCGGCAATAAGCCCACTCTGGTTTTCGAGTTTTGAGGAATATGTTATAAGCGGCTTGTCTGTTCTTCATCAGCCTGTAAAAGCCATGGACCTCTCCCGTTTTAGGAAGGATTTACATTTACCTTAATTGTCCATACCATGACAGTCACAGTATCAGACGTTTGCATGTTTGTTGCTGCTTCCCATCGCCAATCTGGGTAATTTATATATTGCAAATTTAGGTTTTACCTCATAGTCGCTTCTTAAGACACCCAAGGAATGTAATGGGCTAATAGATTCACTAACTTGCACCACCATCAGGCATATGCTTGTAGTACTGTTTTTCCTATGTACTTGACAGAAACAACAGCTCTTGTTTCTGTTCAGCAACAGCTCTTTTACTCTAGGAAATTGTAAAAATTAATTCAAATTTTTATAGACCAAAGTGAAATACATTAAGAAAACAACACAAACTTTAAAGGATCAGTATGATGGTGACATACCAGACTCAGTTGAAAAACTTTGTAAACTTACTGGAGTTGGACCAAAAATGGCACACATTTGTATGAAAGTAGCTTGGAACAAAGTGACAGGAATTGGTTAGTAAGTTATTACATGTTTCATGTTTACTTACAATAATACAAGGTTGATATATGCCCTTGTTACATACAATAATCAACCTTAAGAAAACAGTCAAGTAAATTCGTAAGTTGGGACGCGTCCCACATGAGGTAGCTCTGCGCAAGTTGGCTGGTAGAAACTGGATGCGTGTAGCCGAAGATCAGGCTAAGTGGCGCGCCTTGGGAGAGGCCTGTCTAGTAGTGGACTGCTGCTGGCTGATGAAGTTATATATTTATTAAATTTTGACTTGACCAGTGGAGTTATTAATAAGATATCATGCTTTTATTTACTGTTGACATTTTTTTAATTTTGCTCCTTTCTCTTTGCATATAATTCTGCTACAACCTGGTTTTGATTAAATCCTGTAATGTCATTACTATGCCACTAAGGTCACATGAAATAACTATTTATTGCTTTTTAATGGACATATTTCATCATTTTTTAAAATAATTAATTTTTATTTTAGGTGTTGATACTCATGTTCATAGAATTAGTAACAGGATTGGTTGGGTTAAAAAACCTACAGCTACACCAGAAGATACACGGAAGGCTCTGGAATCATGGCTTCCTTTTGAATTATGGAGTGAAGTGAATCACCTCATGGTTGGGTTTGGTCAAACTATTTGCTTACCGTTAGGCCCTTTATGTAATAATTGTCTTAATAAAGACATTTGTCCATCCAGTGGAAAATTAAACAGGTCACCAAATAAAAAGTCACCAATTAAGAAAAGCCGTAAGGAAGATGTGAAAGGTGATGTAACAAAATTAAATCTTCAATTAAAAGAGGAACCAGGGCAGTCTCCAGATAATGTGATCAGTGAAAGCTTAGGTACAAGTTCTTCCAAAGTAACTAAGGTTCAAACAAATGTACAAGTTAAAAATGAAAGTGAATCTCATAAAATTGTTAGATTGGAAAAGGTACAATTAAGAAGGAAGTCACCTAGAAATAAAAATAGTAGTAATTAATCTAATATGTAAGAAGGAACACATTGTAAGATTGACTTAGAAGCAAGAAAGAAAAAACCTTCTAGTACTTAGTGTCATATTTTCAACAAAAATTGGGTGTTCTCAAAGAAACACAGGCTACAAGGGTTGTCTTAAAATATTTAATAGTTTTCATAATTAATTTTAATTATTTAAAACACTTACTGGATTATGTTTGTAAAATTTGTAATAATATTTAACTGATACTGTGTACCTTTTTTTTTGAAATATATTACCCTCCATCTTAGTTTCTCCTGTATCATTGAGGTGTTTTTTAAATCAATAAGTCAAACTAACAAACATTGTACTTTGAACATATCTTTTTTTAATTATAAATAATAAAAATTTGTATAACAATTTAATATCTTTATTTCACTTCTTTCTATGATTTTTATTTTTTGACTTATTTCTTTTCATATCTGATTTGGCCTTCTTAACATGGTTTTTTCTTTGTTGTGATTTTTTCTTATTCTGTATTCTGTCTAACTTACTCTTCATTTGGAATACTTTACTTTTTTGTATTTTTTTAGTTGCCTGCTTCTTAAGCATTTGCTTAATTTCTTTTTTGGTTTTAATATTTGTGTTTTCATCATTTTCTGGATCTGAAACTTCATTAGTACTTTCGTCATCTAATCCCATTCCTGGAATCATTGGTAGTAGATCTTCTTCATTTTTCTTTGTTTCCAATATCTTTTCAGCGTTTTCTTTTGGCCTGTTATCCCCTATAACTATATCTTTTTTTTGTAGAGTATCTGATGACAATTCAACAATTTTTACATTCACATCCTCATCTTCATATTCTTCTTGAAGCAACTGTTCAATATCAGGTATTGGACGGCTGGAGACTACCAGCTTTTTGTAAGATTCTTTATTCTGTAATAATTTGTAGAAATATTTTTCAATTTTATATATGTATGTTACATGTATGCATATTATATAACAAATTTATGATAAACACACAAAAAAGTTGAATAACAGATCTAAGATTTAAATAATTGCCAGATAACTCCTATTAGCTTTTTGTCGATTTATTGTTACTGTAAACAAAGTCAAGAGCAATTTTGTTATTATTGGATTAGCAATTAGCATTTTTAATGTCGTAGAGCCATGCTGCAGTTATATTGGTAGTATAGTTGTAGCACGAATGAGTCGGCTCGACCGGGGAAGGACCACGCTCTCACAGAATACCAGCGTGAAATGTAGCTTAATGCTGCTGTATTTCATATGGTGAGTGTAGAGAACCGGAGACCCTTTTTACTGGAAAAGAGGGATTCCATCTTAGTCCTCACGGGTGACAACGCATCTGCATTTTGATTTGTAATAGAGGATAGATGTAGATGTCTATGGGCCGCAGCAACCACTTACAATCAGGTGGACTGTGTGCTCGTTTGTCACCCTATCCTATAAAATAAAAAAAAATAAATAAATACATGGTTTTAATGGATGCTAGGTTTAGTTGCAGTAGGAGTTCTCAACAATAATTAAAGTGAATTTTAATTAACAATCTATACAAAATAAAATTGTTGAAATATTTAAGTTGGTTACAGTGATCTAACAAATGAAATATTATGTATATATATATAAAAAAATGGATTACATTTCTCAATATATATTATTTTATTACCTCTTGTTTAATACGCTTCTTTTCTTCCTTTAGCATACGCTCCATTTGTTCTTTGGCTTTCTTTTTTCTCTCGAGTTTGCGCTTACGAAAACCACATAGAAAATCCCTAAAAATAGAGGGTAACTTACTATGTGCTCTGACCAACAAAGATAGATAAGTTGGAATACTGTGTACATTTCAAGTAATACCGAAACTGAGCTCAATTTCTTGACATGCACTCTCATGCATATCTTTCTTTCCTACTTTCTTTATCAGCCCATAAGAATTTACTGATGAATGCAACATAAACCATGATAGTTGCAAGGGATTTTAAATACCTGTGTGCGTAAGTGCGTGTTCTTACAATAATTTGAGCATGGTTTTGGCTAGGTTCTTACATCAATAAAATGTGGGTAGCATTTCTTTGTCGAGTCTGTGCATATGAACAAAACATTTCACTGGGTAAGACATAGTAAGGATCATACCTACCTTCTTTTATTTTCATCAAAAACTAAACTAATTTTCTTTTTTTTCTCCGCATTTTTGTTTTTTCGTTTCCCCATTTGATAAGTTTTAATTTGAAGTTCTTATTTATATTAGTTTGTTAGCTAAATGAGTTTAAAAAACGGCTCTGATTATCGCTTTTCTGTAATGTAACAGGTAAAATTAAATCGCAAAATTCTCAATAAAATCTAACTTCCAGACTTAAAAAAAAAGTGGGTCCTCTCATAGATAAATAAATACATAGGTATGTATATAGAGTACTCAGCACAGATAACTATATACTAGTCAGAGAGTACGAGTACTCAGTGCTGTGTTGTCAGGTGACAGCTAGTGCCCAGTGCTGCCAGATCAAAAAACACATTCAGCGCTAGCGGCTATAAAAAAGCGTAAGATTCATTAAACCTGGGGAGTCCAGGAGCGCAAAGCGTGAGAAGTTTGGGTATTTCTTGGTCACGGACTGCGATGCGAATCGGATACTCGTTTATTTGTATTGCTCTATCTATGTTCCGAAACTATTATAAAACTAGTTGCATCGTCACTGCTCACTCGACTAAATCTAGAGTCCAGGAGCGCAAAGCGTGAGAGGTTTGGGTATTTCTTGGTCACGAACTGCGATGCAAATCGGATACTCGTTTATTTGTATTGCTCTATCTATGTTCTGAAACTATTATAAAACTAGTTGCATCGTCACTGCTCACTCGACTAAATCTAGTTGCGCGGATGAATTGACGTCCTAGTTTTACTGACGACGAATTTTTAATCACATTGTTGCTATTTACTAAATTTGAGCCTAAACATTAAAATAATTACGATCGTGTTGTTTCAGATTTGTTTACTAACACAGGCCGCCCGCTCTCCTACAATATTAGAATAAATCGAACGACTGATCCGAGTTTTAGCTGTGTGTGTGTGAATTTGTTAGTATTGGGTCCTTACATATGAAATTAGCGTTTTGTCGTACTGAACACTTTGATCGGAAATGTCTCTAAATTCATTTAGCTGGTACATTTGAGTTTTGAAAACAGTCATTCATTTGTTTTTTTCCTCATTATTTTTTGTCTTTGGCGTTGGCTTATTACCGCACAAAAGAAAACATGAAATATCGGTATATTTATGAGTACGAGTTCTATCGTGGCACCAGTACTGCAAAAACAGCTCGAAGGATTAATGATGTGTACGGCGCTGGTGTCGCAAAAGAAAGCACGGTACGTTTTTGGTTTCAACTTATCATTCTGAAAATTTCGACCTTCAGAACCAACCACATGGACGACCGGAGACTAAAGTGGAAAATAAGGAATTAAAGGCTATTGTGGTAGCGGATCCTTCACAAAGCACTTCAGAGATAGCTGCAGACTTCGGGGTAAGTGATAAAACTTTATTAATCCACTTGAAGCAAACCGGGAAAGAAAAAGAAAGCTTGAACAATGGGTACCTCATGAATCGAGTGAATCGAACTTGCAAACACGCGTCGACTGCTGTGTTACTTTGCTCAACCGACACAAAAATGAAGGGTTTTTAAATCGAATCATTACTTGTGATGAAAAGTGAGTACTGTAGGATAATCGGAAGCGCTCGTCGCATTGGCTGAACCCTGGAGACCCAGCCAAATCCTGTCCTAAACAAAAATTGACTCAGAAAAAGTTACTTGTGAGTGTTTGGTGGACTAGCGCCGGTGTCGTTCACTACAGTTTTTTAAAATCTGGCCCAACAATTACAGCAGATATCTATTGTCAGCAACTGCAAACCATGAAGGAAGAACTAGCTGCTAAACAACCAAGATTGGTCAATCGCTCTAGGCCACTGCTGCTTCACAACAACGAAGGACTACACACAGCACAACAAACAACCATTAAGTTAGATGAGCTACAATTGGAATGTCTGCCACATCCACCGTACTCCCCGGACCTTGCTCCAACAGATTACCATTTTTTCCGGAATTCGGACAACTTCCTACAAAGAAAAAAATTCAACTCCGGTGCGACAGTCCAGACCGCCTTCAAAGAGTTTATTGATTCTCGCGCCCATCGTTTGTTTAGTAAAGGAATCAATGAACTACCTATGAGGTGGCAAAAGTGCATAGATAACAACGGTGCATACTTTGATTAATTAAATATATTTTACAAAAAAGAAATTGACTTTATATTCGTCCCGTACAATGGGCCAATTTCATATGTAAGGACCTATTATATTGTTAAATTGTTATTTATGGGTTTCGTAGTAACAGACAGAGAGTTAGTTTTAAGCGCACAGATTTCTGTATCGTGTAAAACTGCTACCGGCGGTGGCCTGTGTTGCTCTATGATTTTAGCATTATTTAATTGTTGATTTAGATAACATAGTCACTTCTCTAGTCTTAGAGCATACATTACATGGAGGGAGCACTGTGTGAGCAGAAAGCGTGATCGGTGCTCTAAGGTTTAGGTAGAGTCTGTCTCTCTCGCACATGCTTCTGATTGGCTGGCGTGTTTTCCACCGTTGCATCGCGCGAGCGCATGCCCAATGAAACAGCCAATGACAGTGACTGTGCGAGAGAGACAGACTCTACCTAAACTCAGTCTCTCTCTCTCTACGCCGATCACGCTTTCTGCTCACACAGTGCTCCCTCCATGTAATGTATGCTCTAAGTCTCTAGTCGTGTTGCTATGGAGGTTAGTGGTAAGGAGGTCTATTTCATATGATGATGAAAAAGTGTCCAGCTGTAAGTCATTCTTGACTGTTTTTGAACTGTTATTTTCCATTGAATAAATCATTATGTTATTTTCAAGTTCAAAAACCTTTCAGAATGGCGCTAGCGTTGATACAGGATATGGTGTAAATGAAGCAGTTGTTTGAATGATGACGATTGAAGTGTGCAGAGTTAAAAAATTGAACATTG